CGCAACGTGATCCGGGTAGGGATATATCTGTGAAGCAATACATATACAAATATAAAACTTTTTTAGTTTTGATTTTCCCGATATTAAATTTTTACCAATAGACTCTTCATATTTTGCTGATTAAAATAAGACCAAACACGAAATAATTTCAAGTATATTTACTGGTTTAATTGACAATAAAAGTTTCTAACGCAGAGGAGGATAGCGAATGAAGAAGAAAGAGACACTGCGGCCGTGGTAATCGGCAAAGATCAAAATTCTGTTCAATTGTTTGCAATGCTTAAGGGGGGAAATACCTTTAGAATCTTAAAAAAAAATTGAAAATTTTTTTTCCATAAAATGTTAGTGCAACATCTTAAAAATATGGTCTCAAAATTTTAAAGTGAAATACGAAGCCCTTTTGAAGTTATGGCCGATTAGCGCCGCGGGTATACACGCGTTCAGTGCGGAGGACTGAAACTTTAAACGCGTTTTTCTCAAAATTACATTTTTACAATTGGTGTGGCTGATAACTCAAAAACTAGTTTATCAATCGCGCTCAAATTTTTTGCATATATCCATGACAATAGTATCTAACACATGAACCTAAATGTGTGAAATAAATTGAACATTAAAGTCCTTTTTATTGCAAAATAGTGCAAAAATTTTCAATAAAATTCAAAGTTTTTCTTTAAAAGCGCGCCATTTCTTTAATTTTACACATTTTGCACATTTCTGAGGTTCATCTACTAATTGTGAATGTTAGTTTTCGAAACATTGTCTGCAAACTTGTTTCAGACCAATGGATCTAAGGCTAGAACCCACACTGATTCACGAGACGCGCCAAACACTTCCAGGAATGACTGTTATAATTTCGCCATTTTTAAATGTATTTAAAAACAAAAAATATTGTGTAATAGGCAATAGCTATAAAACCTCTGACAATTACACTGCAATATTCTCAAACACACATCAGTCATCACTTATCCTGGCCTTCTCTCTCTCTAACATACGCACATATTCAGGGCATTCACTCGACAGAACCGAATGATCACTCACTCTCCCTTTCATTTTGCTATAATAAATTATGTCTGAAATTTCAAAAACGCAAAACAAAAATATCCTATACAAAAAAATTTACAAAAATCAGCCTATTTTCATCGGTCTAAAGGTATTTCCCCCCTTAAGCATTGCTAACTTTTTTATTTTGTATCCATTTTTATATACAACTTTTTCCATCATATTCCACACTTCTTACACAGCCTCTCTTTCACACTACATTCACGCATCATGTGCCCGAAGGCAAAACATTTGTAACAACGCATCACATTAATGAAATCTCTCACCTTACACGCTCTCCATTTAACATATACGCGTTCCTCACTCACCAATACATCCCGCATTCTTTTTGACACCTCGAGTATCACATTACCCACCATTGCTAACTTTTTTATTTTGTATCCATTTTTATATACAACTTTTTCCATCATATTCGTGACATTGTCCTGACTAAAATGAGGCCAAACACGACGTAATTTTTTTATTGGAGTAAAGTCATCTGTGGCGGTTTCACTCTCACGCTCATCGCCAGTAGACGGCGTATAGGATCGAGACCTAGACTTTCTCGCTAGTACTCAAACAGCCTTCCTATTCATATATATACATAGTTCCTGTTCATCCCTTCCTTACATCCCTGTGTCTAAGGCAAGGGCCTGCTAGAACGCCTTACTGGATGAGTCCACCAGCAGGTCCCGGATGAAACGTTCTCCCTCTCCTTTACTTTTCCTAGCTCCCTACTCTAGCTAGCTGAACCGCCAAACATCCATGTACTGTCCAGAGCACGAGAGAAAAGTAGCGGGACGGGAACGGGGCAAAGAGGGTAGGCCGCTAGGACCACCCAATCCCCACTTTTCGACTCACGCGTAGCTCCCACCGTTCATCCGTAATGGTGTGGTTTTACATAGGTGTAGAAATAGATATTGTTACTATATGTTAAAAAACTCTATCTTTTTCCTCTTACGCGATGCGTAAAACTTTTGGACACTACGACAATGGAATGCCGCTCAACGTATCGCTCGTTCTGTCTTGCTTGTTCTACATATATCTGACCCACTCTCCGCGTCACGCGACCGATTAGTGTATGTGTGCGCCTCGACAAATAGCGTGTTATTGCCGAAAATGCGTGTGACAATAGGCGGCAACATTACAATCCGACCACTGCGATGCTCTTTTCGTCCCTCTAGCCCCGTTCCCGTCCCGCTAGTTTTCTTCCGTACTCTGGACAGTACGCATAATATTTGAAATTACAAGTAAATATGTCCCGAAGTATGTCGTGTTTGGTCTCATTTTAATGAGAAAAATGTTACAAATATGATGGAAAAAATTTCAAATAAAAAAAATCTAAAATAAAAAGGTTTTATTCTTGCATTAGAAGTGTCTTACCGATAGATCACTGTTTGTTTACGTTCAGTCTCTTTCGCTCGAAATCTAGTATCTTTACGGTATACGCAAACAGCAGTCACCGTGTTATTTTTCTCTTCTGTCCCTTTCTACGTTCGGCAAAACATCAATCAATGTAGGACCTGTACGATATACGCAAAACTTCAGACCCGAAAGATTTGCGTATATAGAATATTTACTATAGCTTCTATCGTTCCACGTGTTAACGCAATATACTCAGCTTCCACTGTTGATAGCGAAAGTATGGGTTGTCGTTGGCTAGACCAGCAGATAGATCCACCATTTAATAAAAATATAAAACCGCTTCGCAATCTCTAAACATCCAGCATAATGTGCATCAGTAAGTCCACTTTCAGTGCTCCTACTGTGTTCGGCCGCGAACAAAGACCTTTGCCGCGACTAAGGGATTTATTGCAAGGATCAAGTAGTTCAACGCGTAGACCACCATGAATAGCTTTATACAGTATACACTCCGTAAATGTTACTTTTGCCGGTCTCGATTGTAACATTTGCGGTAGAGGTGCGAATTCCTCCTAAAGGCTTTCTATAGAAGCAATTATGATTTTAATTATACCGTGTTTGGTACCATTTTAATCAGAAAAACGAGACGAATACGATAATCAAAGCTTCATTGATGAAACCCCAAAAATAAAGAATTTTGATTTTTGAATTTAAAAGACAGAAGACGCACGAAACTTTCATGTTTGCCGAACGCGTCAACCTTCTGCTTCTCTTTCTTTTCCATTCGCCGTCCTTTTTTATGTTAAAAACTTTAATCACTCGTTATACACGCAATTGTTAACGTAATTGAATCTTGTGCGGGTCAGATCGAGAGTCAAGAAGTTTCGCGTAGAGTAACGTAGAATAACAATTGCAGGGTGGTTCTTAAGATCAATCATAACACTATTCGAGCGGGACCCTGCACTCCTCGAATAGACTATTATAGGATAGTATCAAAGCAATCACACACTATTCGTGTGGGACCCTACACTCCTCGAATAGCCCACTGTAGTCAGAGCAATCACACACTATTCGAGTGGGACCCTACACTCCTCGAATAGATCATCGTGAACAATCTCATGCAATGTGGATTATAAAACGAATCGTAACAACATTGAGCGAGACCCTGTGCTCCTCAACTCAATCAACAATCATACTCAACAACATACACAACGTATAGAGTACTCAATATGTATCTGGGCGGCACGCTCTACCAGCAAATAAAAGTGACCTAACCGCTTCACGATAAGGTATACGCACATCCATCTCGCATGCAATCAATTTCTTATTTAATATTAAACCAGGTTCCGCAGGAATACATATAGAATGCTTGATCATAGTCATATGCACTTGATCATGATCGTGCTCAGCTGCAGGGCTCGAAGATATCGCTCTCGCTTCTGGGCGCGCGTAATCTTTGCGCTCTGATTGGTCCATGTTTTTCCTTCATAATTCAAAAACGAAGCTTCAAACTCCATTTTTGCAAAGGAAAATCTTGTTCAGAATGACGTCCTCTACCACCCTTTTTGGGCAGTAGCACTAGTTACGAGACACTCTGTATTTACGCAAATATCTGTGTCGCTGAAAATGAAATCAACGAGGTTGTACAAATTCTGTTGCTTCGTTTAGGACAACTCTTTGTGAACTATTGGAATGTAATTGGTGCCCTTTAGGTGTTCCGCAATCTTTATCCTTTGGAGGTTACCGAATAAATCTCCTAGTTTGTTTCCTTTCGACAAGGTAATGGAAATTAGACATTTTCTTTAATTGTATTTCAGTGTTTCTATTTCCGTCAGGACTATTGTAACACGAGGCGTTAATGGGTATTTGTTTAAACGAATTAAATCTGCCAAACTGGGTTCTCGATTGAGTTTAGCTACGTATTGTTCTGGGTCTACTATCTCTTTGGGTACGATAGTCGCGTTAATTTGTTCTTTGCTTGAAATTTCCATTGTGATCGGTGAAGGTTCAATAGGGTACACTTGTGATAGTGTATCAGCATTACTGTTGGTGCAACTCTTCTTGTTCTCTATTTTATATTCGCATTCTTCAAGTTAGAGCCGCCATGGTATCTACCTAAACTTTTTGAACTTACGCCATATAAGAATGTTCGAGTAATTATGGTCGAGAATGGTCGAGATGGGATGCATTCTTTCTAACTTGACACATTCAGTTACTCGCACGCTTCTAAAAAATACTGACAGCATTTTACTGAAATTCAAACGACATGCTACCATAGTTGGTATTTCTCATTTTATAACCTTTTTTCATTGTATCTGCAGTCTCCGGTTTCACAATAATATAAGTATAAATGTGTTGAAAGAATGTGGATTTAAAATATTCTGATAGAAATATAATAGAATGTTTGGAATCAACATGGCATGGGAACTAGAGTTCTTGGTTGTTAATCACCAGATTAAGCGGACATTGAATAGTATTTCGATGAAATAAAATAAAATTTAATAAAATAAAAATAAAAATAAAAGTAAAATTTCCATAATATATAATCGCTAATTATCATTATTTTAGTTAGTAAATAACTTTTGTTGTTTTCTAATAAGTTGACAACACTGCTGGATTGTTGCTGTCGGAGAAAAAGGTTTATAGCTTCGCTGGTGAAGCAGGCAAGAGATGATTGCATACTTCTAGCAGTGAGGAACTGTGAAGCTGCGCAAGAAGCCCTCTGCTTGATGCTAGAATGGTATTTGCTGCCGAATGAGGAAGCTCGACTGCAAATAGTAAACGCGTTGGAGTCGACTACATCGGGCAAGAACCGCTATATTGCTCTTTGTCAAAGGCAGAGGAATTTACAAGAATTGGTAAGTAAATTATAAATCATAATAATTGATACAAAGGAGCATTGCTGAAGAGAGGAATATTATTTTTCGTATACAATACATAAAACATTCTTTTTTGTTTTTGTAAACCCATTAAAGTAGAGAGTTACAAGATAGATTTTTCTCTAAATAATTTGTTTGTTTCTTTGATATAGTTATTAACATAAATAACAACCCTCATTTTTAACAAATATTTCTTTAAAACTATCATATTTTTTTAAAACTCTGGTACATATATTGTAGTTGGATATTAATTCGTATATCAATTCGTAATAAAGTTACCTACGATGTTTCTGAAATGTCAAGAAAATTTACTTTTTAAAGAACTGATGAACATCTAACGATTGTTAATTATTTGCATAGTATTGTACTTGCAATTTCAATAAAAATTCTTAAATGATTGCGAAATTCTGTACAGCAACAAAAAGGAGGTCCCCGGAAACTGACGCTACCTGTCCGAGCAACTGATGCGGATGTGGCGCTTCTTTTGGGTGGGAGAGCTCTTGGCAATCTTGAATGTCTTAGCTTGGCCTTTACATCAGTAACTTCTGCTTGTGCTGAACAGTTAATTAAATTACCAGCTTTAAGATATCTCAATCTGTGGGCAACGCAGTTCGGCGACGCGGGTTTACAAATGATTAGTGAACATCTCCAAAAGCTGCAAGTGTTGAATCTCTGTGAAACTCCTGTTTCAGATAAAGGAATCTCCACTTTGGCCTGTAAGTATGCTTTTATTTGTTAAAAAAATGTTGTAACATATTATCGATACATTATACAATTGTTATAGAAATATTTCAACGTAGATAAGGAGTTTAAAATAGTATTTGTTACTTAAAGAGATTCTAGTAGAGTCGTATCAAACGAGATGCGCCATATCTTAAACTGTCCACTTCAAGCGGTTGACAACTTTGATTCATTATTGATTTAATTAAAATAAAACGCTTTTATTATCCTAAATTTTGTACGAATAGCGAATAAATATCTTATTATCATGTAGTTTCAACTATTACAATTGGTTTAACCCTTTCATTACGGGTGCCGCCTATAGGCGGCGTCCGCGCGACGACCTGTGTGTACGGGTGTTATATGTAAATAACTGAATATTCATACAATATACTCATTTTCATGTTTTTCCTATAATACGATGAAACAGTTGTTATGTAGCTCTTAAAAAAGTGTACATACAAGACAATCACAAAGTGGCGTTGAAAAATGTTAGTCCGAATATCGAAGACTACTGACGAGCAAAGTGCACACTTCGCGGCGCGGTGACCCATTCAGTGGCGTCCCTTCAGCGGAGCGGACTGCCGTAAGGAAAGGGTTAAAAATGATAGTAACTTTCTCCCAGTAAAATCATGTTTTGACATTTCTTCAAAAAGAAAGATAATTAAATCAATAATCCTGTACGATGATCTACAACCTTATCGATTTCAATGCGCTTGAAATACAGTTACTCGATTTAATATTCGGACACTATGGTATTTGCAAAATTAAAGCTTTATGTACTTACTTGCAATGTGATTATCGAATTTTCTGATCCGCAATGAGTTAAAGCACATATTCTAGTTTACAAATATGTAAAATATATAAATAAATATTTAAATTTTATAGAAATATTTTTAAAATAAAAACTCATTTACAATTTCTGATATCCAAAAATTAATTTGTCAATGAAAAAAATAATATTATGATAGTACGAACATTCAAGATTAAAATGAAAGAATATTTAACTAATTTCGATAAATAATTTTCAAGACAAAAATTCATACGTGAAGTACGCCGTATTAGTTAACTAACAAATCAACATTCGATTTTCAACACAAAATATTAATTTGTCACATTAATATAATCATCTTATCAAAAAACATTTAAATAATTTATCTCAGAATCGAAGATATTACTGCAGTTTTGTCCACGTTTTCGCCATTTTTCGCCACTGTGTGGCGGTCCGAGCTTGACCTTGGTCGTGAACAAACAAATTGCGCCTCATCAGTAACGTCCTCGATTATGTGTCAGGCGAAAAATAGTTATAAAATTCACTGCTGATAATAAGTATAAATTTATTAACGGAACTAATTGCATGGGTTCAAAGAAAATAAAGATCAAGGGCGGACATTTTACATTTAAAACTTCGTTAATTAGTTATAAATAGTGTTTAAAAAGTGACTTCTTGTTTAATAATATAAAATTAAAGAATACTATCGTTGTATGATAAGTAAAAACGTGTTTACTCGCTAAAATCAACAAGAGCATATCAGTTCCTGCTCTATTAGATTATTAAGTAAAAAGGGTGACTATCATATTTGATGTTTTCCGCATAATAATGATAGTAATTTTCGGATGAAGAACCCATAATAAACAAATACACAAGTATTTGTGTATTTGACGATTCTGGAACTAAGTAAGCTCAGAAGTTAACAGCGTTCGTGAGGTAAAGAACGGCGTTTACCTACTGAACGACTCGTTTCTACAATAACTAAATCTACAAGGATGTGGGGTTCGTGTGGTGTTCGGTTAAGGAGTGAAATCCACAGATCAATACCTTTCAACAATTGGGTTTATTCAATTAAATGATGAGAATAATGAATTTTACAATTAATAATTATAACAAAAACATGAAAGGTATTTGGATTATAAATTAATACAATGAACGACTAAATCAAAAGAACTAAATAAACTTTGATTGCATAATTGCAGAAATTCAATAAATTAAATAATACATAGTCGGTTAATAGAATCTAACAAAAATGTAATTCGCTGGTTAATACCTTCGGAACCTAGCGTTACGATGAATCCTACCTAAGAGTGATCCTCATTCAAAGCTAACTACGCTTTTACAAAATCAACGAGATTCGATATACTAAATGCTTATGATTTGATACTCTTCCAAAGCTAACGCGGTTACAAAAATTAACAAGATTAATACGTTTATAGTCTACCGTTACAATGAATCCTAACAATAAGTGTGATTCTGTTTTTAAGCTTACCTAGATACGCTTTTAAAAAATTAATAAGATTGATACTTTAAATCGGTTTTCTAATCGGTTGTATAGTCGACTACACAAGAGATGCTACGCGAGATACGCTCGTTATCGCTTAATTGGGGAGCCTGTTGTTCACTGGCTACTAGAACGTCCCAACGATACCAGAATCAAATGAACAGCATACGTCCAACAGGGAATCAAATTAAAATTGACTCTAATTATAAATCGTAATTATTGAACTGCCAGCCAAAAGACTTGGTTCAGAAACCAAGCCGCTCAAATGGGGAGCCTGCTATTTGCTGGCTACTAAACTACCCAGAGCGAACTCCGAGAATTTGATGGCGCGTTAGTAATCCGACAAAAATAATATGTGTATGAGTAGCTGAAGAGCTCCCGTTTTGATGGCTTAGCCTTTCTGGTGGCTGTGCATAGCACTCTCCTAGCAGAGTTTCAGATAGAAGACCACTTGAAGGGGGAGCCTGTTGTTCACTGGCTACTAGAACGACACAGCGATTAAGTATTGAAATGGCGTATAGAGTATTGATTCGTAATAAGTAACTCGCTCGGGTCTGGCGAGTTGCTTGTTACGAATCAGGTATATTTTCGGCTTGCCTTTGTTCCCGAGCGCGACGACGGTAGCGGTAAACTATAAAGTATGTAATCGGTCGAGCAGCGATGTTATTCTTCAGACAAGGACAGAACATAGCATGCTTTCTCCTTTTAATAGTAGCAAATTTTCGTGAATGGAATAATATACCAGATTCGTAACAAGCAACTGGCCAGACTCGAGCGAGTGGCTTATTACGAATCAATGTAGAATTAGATGAATGAACGACAGAATCGCTATGCATCAGAATGAGAAAAGAATATATATGTTCTGTCCTCTTTCCACTAAACTGTTCGGTCGTCCGTGAAAATTTATGACTTCTTCGGTTTCACGGACCTCTCACTCTTTCTCGGATCTCTCATTCAGCGGCCGACTTCAAACAAAGAAGAGGGGATAGAAATTTGCTTGTTACGAATCACAAAACTGTTGCTTGTTACGAATCAGTATTGTACCCGCTGTCCAATCAAGTATTAAGAATCGTTTCGGCTCTTGACAGCGAAAACTGTTCCGCTTATACTTATCTGAAGACTTCCAGCTCGTTCGACTTCGAAAACTGTTCTGCGATTTAGGCGGGTTTCGCTCGGCCTTTTATACTCGCAGGCCTGTCGATTTCTTGGAAAACCCCCATAACGTCGAAATATATAATTGTCGTATAAACTCGTAATTAGACATTAATTATGAAAATGAACGGTTTAATTACATTATTAATATTGCATTCTACTCGGTAGTTTATGTTCCTGATATAAAAATAGTAATTTAGTAGAGTTTTAATGAAAATTACATTTTCTATCTTCTACCCCCATAATGTCGGAGTATATAATTTTCATATAAATTCGTAATTAGACATTAATTATGAAAACGAACGATTTGATTACATTATTAATATCGCATTCTACTTGATAGTTTATGTTCCCGATATAAAAATAATAATTTAGTAGTGTTTTAATGAAAATTACATTTTCTGTCTTCTTCTATATATTGCGCACGAATATAAGTATCGGGTCTAAACGTATAAGCATACGATGCTTCTAGAATATTCTATAGAGTAATATTATAATTCACAGTATATTTTGCAATAAACTAACATTTGACTTTGATTCCGAATAATATAATACTAGTAAGTTCGATGTGTATTGATTAATTTGTTTAACTAATGGTTTTTAATAACTAATAATATCGTAATTGTAAAATATATTCCTATCCTTCTCTAACATTACGCGAGAATACTAGGAAATTCGGGGCGAGCATCGCGGCACGTAGGCACGTAGCATTACGGAATTTTCCATATAGAGCTATATTATATTTATTAGAATAACCATGAAATAATACATTAGTCTTGTTTTAATTGTTCTAACTTAATATTCAATTAACTTTGTGAAACATATTATCCTTTTTAAATCGAAAACATAAAATAATTATTGCAAATTAAAAATATGTATATATACTTGGTTACCAACTGTCGAATTTAATACATACGATAATAATTGATACATAATGTCGGTAATTGTCTAATTCTGTCGATAACTAAACTATTCTTGCGGTGGGTAAATGAACTGAACACAATACTGCCATGATGGTGAAGAAAACAAAAAATTCTTCCAGCGATGTTACAATTGATATATGCAGGGTGTTCAACAAGTAATATTATAACTTGAAAGGAGTGATATCTTTGATGACTTTAAATAATTGTTTTACTCAGATACTAATATCTATCAGAAAAGAAGTAAACAACGAGAGTTATTAACACGTCGCTCAGCACCTGTTTTTAACCGACTTCGAAAAAGGAGGAGGTTACTCAATTCGATCAGTATATTTTTTTTTCTATGTATGTTCGCCGATTACGCCTAGCTGGATGGGCCGATCGGAATGAAACCTTTTGCATCGGGCAGGTTCTGACTCCCCATTGGTACCATTATCAAAAAATTTTTCATTTTTTATTGCAAAGTGTTGTTATTGCAAAAAAACCGGCAACTTTTGAAATAAACTTTTCTCGATTTTAGTGCGCTTTTAATATCTTATCACGGACATGATTCTGAACAATTTTGTTCATATACAAATTTCGCGGAAAGCTTTAGTTTTCGAGATATTAGCGAAAAATTGTTATTAACTTTTGAAATCAACTTCGAACGATTTTAATATCCTTCGAATATGTTGTTAGGGGCGTGGTTCTGGACAACTTTTTCCGCTTGCATAACTGACGGAAAGCTTTTGTTTTCAAGATATTAGCGAAAATTGTTGTTAACTTTTGAAACCAACTTCGAACGATTTTAATGTCCTTCTAATACGTTATTAGTGGCATGATTCTGAACGAGTTTTTCCTTATGCATAATTGACGGAAAACTCTAGTTTTCGTGATAGTAGCGAAAAACTATTGTTATTAATATTAGTGGAACGCTCCGTGCTATGCACGGGAAAGACAAGAAAGGGCAATTATTACAATGCACTGTACCAAAACACTAACTAAGCTTTACCGCTCTGACACGCGACTTATACAGTAAGATGAGTTCACGTTGACGTTGGTGTATTATTCCCATTGCTTGGTACAGTCTCCGAATCGTTCTAAAAATGCATCAATTTGATTTGTCAGAAAATTCGTTGCGCAGGATCTGCTATAATTTTACGGATACTTTGACCCTTGCGCAGTCCTAAACCGTAAGAGATACATATGCGCAGTAAATTTTTGCAAAGAAAGTTAACAAAGAACAAATGGATGAACCCTCAATCATGTTGTAATTAGTTTGTACTTGTCCCTGAAAGAGTCTCCCTTATTTTTTTTTTATGCATGTTCGCTGGTTTTTTCCTAGGTGGGTGGTCCGATCGGAACAAAGCCTTTCGCATCTTGTAGAGTCTGACTCCCCATTGGTACCATTACCAAAAATTTTTTCATTTTTTAGTTGCAAAGGATTATTGTTGCAAAAAAAATTGAAAAACGAATATCCATGTTGTCTTTTACTTAATTATGCTCATGGCATTTACGCAGACAAAAAAAGGCACGGAAGAACTGTCTCACAGTATCCTATACAATTCTCCCCATTTCGCTAAAAAGCGTGAAATAAAATAATTTTCAGAAAAAAATACATCGACTTCGAAATGCACTAAAAAGTATAAAATAATTTCTATTTCCTAATGATGTAATTTCTATTTAATTCAGTCATACAATTACGTAACAGATATGAATGAAACTTATTTACTCGTTAGGTAGTATATTAAATACATTTCAACCTTTTCCCAGGCGGCGCATAATTAAAAGATTTTCTTGAACATGTCAAACTTTGGACAGCCAAACATTATATATATGTATACAGGGTGTCCCACAATTAGTGTAGGACCCGAAAAGGGGTGGTAGGTGGAGCGATTCGGAACAGCTTTTTTCTCCGCCAAAATATTGGTTGAAGCTCCATTTTCGAGTTAAAAATACTTTGAAACTTTATTTCATGTGCAATAGGGCACGATCAGAATAAGTAATAAATCTGGTATAAAATGCTTTTTACTGTCAAATATATTTCAGGAAAATACGTGCATTTTTGTGCACCATCTATGACGAATAGCTCACATCAACTTGTAGTACATTACTACCTACTAGATGGAGAAATTTCGCTCATATTGTAATAAAAATAGCCTGTATATGCACTTGCCTCGTTTACGAACTTACCCCACTTCACCTTAATTTCCTTTTAATTTTTTATTTTTATTTCAAGTAAACTTCCCACACAATTATTCAATACTACATTCTGAACTATGGATTCCACATAATATGTGAATCTTTGTATTTTTTAATCCTGTCTTGTAATCTATAAAAGTACAATAGAATCGAAAAATTATAACAAAAGAAAGTCGAGGATAATTAAAAACTACTGTCGTCAATATGTTGTTACGTATTCTGTTTTCAGAATGTACAGAAGCAAAAAGTACATATCAAGAGCAAATCTGACTTTCCTAGGGAAAATGGCGGTCAAGGGGAAGTGGTTTTTATTGATATGCCTTATATCTAATGCACAGGAAGTAGTCTAGATGTCGATACATAACGACATTTTCCCGAACAAATATTTACTTTTAACCCATTAACTCCGTACGACGTATTTACTACACGTCAATCAAAAAATCTATTCTGGTGTGGTCAACGTTTATTGTAAAACAAAGAATTATTGTTGACCACGAAGACTCGAAATTTCGATAAGATGAAATAAAAGTGTCATTTCGTGATATAATTCTTTTATATTACCAATAGAACTGCAATATGTATGACATATGTTTTACGAAAAAAAATTGTTTCTTTGCTTTGATGTGTTGGATACTTCCCACTCAATGTACAATATTACTTTTTACAAATCGAATTCATTATTTCCCCCATTCCATCTAGTACTTGCTAATTTGTTTTGCTCATATGGTTGTATATTGAATATTTTTTCAAAAAAAATATACTTTTAAAAATACCACAGTGAAATCAACTAAATTCCTTAAATCTACTTTCTTCCTTTAATTTTTCTTGTTTATAAATTTTACATTTTTTTTACAATTTTTAAGGTTTTAATAATAATAACCTTTTCCACAATATAGTATTAATTTCGTGTCTTCCTCGTTATTCTGGGCTTCGTTTTCTCGTTACATATTTCAATAATAGTATTTATTATAAGTAAATATGTGATTTTCTGCTTTTTACTAATTGCAATAATTTCTCTGAATTTGGACTAATCCTTCTATGCTTTGGTATCCATTATTCGCTGATCTATTTTTGAATTTTGTGCCGTCTTCAGTTATTATTATTTGTTTCCTTTCATCTTCCTTCATTTACCTACTTATTTTATATTCAGTTTTAACTTTTCTTTGCATTATTTACTTTTTATCTATAATTTTTCTTTAACCAAACCTTTACATTTTCCATTGCATTTTATCGTTCATTATTGTGTGGTACTTGTAATCGATGTTTCCTTATTTTTTCTTTTCCTGCATTTATTTGTTTCAATTCAGATTTTACTTTTGCAATCACTGAGCATTTGGCATTCGTCAATAAATTTACGAAAATGCTTGCTTTGAATAGTATAATACAAATAATTTAAAGGGAGCAAATCTAAATATAACTTAAATTTAGTTAAAAAGAAATTGCAAAATGTCTATGTCCGGTCTCGGTAAAACTTCATAAGCTTATACAATAGACTAACATAATAGATGCTTTGTTTAAGCTGCGTTTACTTAAATTTGTGGGATAAAATTATCTTTCAAAAGACCACCTCCAAACTTCAATGTTGCGTCTTATTCACGTGGTTATGATAACTTTTTCGCTAAAATAAATTCTGTTTCTGTTTTGCAGCACTGACAAGTTTAAGGAAGCTGAATCTAAATAGCACGAAGTTGTCCGTTCAAACGTTCGAATCTTTGAAGAAGTGCTTGCCATCTCTACAGGAGTTTGATGTAAGGTACACGGAGGCATGGTGACCAGAATTTTCACCGTACATCAAGTCGGATAACTCGAATAACTTCAGCTTTCAAGATAAAAGACAACGTTAAAGTTACATTAGCTAAGAGAAGCAAAAATTCAATTGTGATTAGTTACACGTCAAGTAGAACGTCTGCTGGCACACGTAAGTGTCGTTTCGATTGGTAACAAAAATTTTATGTAGACGTATTTATGGGGCCGTAAACGATTATTAGGAATACAGAATCTAAGTGACTCGGATTGAATCAAATTTCGTTTAATTTCGCGAATGTTAGAATCGTTAGTACGTGGCTAGGACCACAATAAAATCCTGAAGTGAAAGAGTCATACAAGGAAAGCGACGAGAAACTTCAAAGAAGTATTATAAACTGCCGAAAAACCGTTGGTGAAAGAAAGAATTAAAGATACGTTTGAGGAAACAGATCGAATTTAGAACATTGTAGAATCTAGAATCTGGTTGCGTATCTACAAATAGTCGATTTATGCGAGAACGATTAAAAAGGTATAAAAAAATAAAGGCACTTGCTTTTAAGTCCGTAAGTGTCTTCATTTTTTGTAAATCCTATATATTCGACTTATTTGGATGCACGTTTTTTTAGGCCAGATATTTTACAATAAATAATTTTAATACTTGATTTCATTTGAATGATTGTGATTTATGACTATATTGACCGAATATATAGCGATACTTATTAGTTATTCTTCATAGCATTAACGAGATTTTATTCCAAAAATGATTACGCTTATTCTAGAATTCTCTCTCTTCGTGTCAATTATTTTTAACAAGACTGTAATCGTGATAGAACGTCGAGTTCATTGATAATCGTCAAGAAATACAATTCTTTAAGAAATAATTATAAAACGAGAATAATTATTTCTTATATTGAAATATATACAGGTTGTTACCTGTAACACTACTCACGATTTTTCTCCCACTTGCAGCCACCTTAGGAAAAAAAAGTTTAAAACAATATTTGCAGGGTATAAAGTGCACAATAGATACTATTAAAGCAAATTTTGAAAACAGTTTGTTCTCTTGGCAAAGTCAAGGTCACTTTGAGTTTTTTAAATAGGTCTTTTACTCAATTTACAGAAGAGGAAATGAGAAGTACTTAGCTTTTGACTTTGGTAGTGTAACCATTATTTGATTCGGAAGATATCGTATGTCTTATTTTGTAACATTTATACTTATTTAGAAAAATAAGTCTATAAAAAAATATTCAGAAGAAATAATTAGGAAACTAATTCAGGAGGAAAATTCCCTTGTTCAATGATTGCTTTTAATGTCGCTGGAAATACAGCAGCTGCTTTTGTATCTCCACTGGCCATTTCTCCAATAATCTGTATGTTATGAAGATTGTATCTGTTTTTAAATCGATGGAATCATTCTCGACTAGCTACGGATTGTTCACTGGTGTCATTTCTTTCATTCTACATATGCTTAAAAATTCTTCTCGCTTTTTCTATTATAATTGCTTGACTTAATGGCATGTTGCGTTCAAACTTCATCGTCAATTTAAATTGCATGCCTGCTTTATTTGCAGACATATACGACAAGTATCACTATTGAGTGCGATTTCGGGAAAGACGAATACTACTGTGTAGTACCGAAACAGCGTTAAGCGGGGTTTTACTGTATTTTCAAATCATTCAATAAAAATGGTGCTGCTTATTCAAGCATTTATATGATTTTTACAAATGACTAGCATTGCGCTCATATTGGCATGTTTAAAATAGTGTGGATGCTTACTTCTTCTGATCATCAGAAATGTATATATGTATGTGGAATCTGGTAGCATTCGTATAAAGAACTGCAGTAATGCGCCTTTTACCAACTTCGTAATTGGGAGCTGATCTTTTATGACGAAAAACTAATGTTTTCTGCGATAGTGCCTTCAAAATTAAACCTGTTTTATCAGCATTGCATACATTTTCAAAGTGTATTCTTCAATCATTTAATCATTTTTTAAAGTCCGCACTAAAAGTTTCTGCAGCAGTACTATTCGCTGAGAAATTTTCTCCATAGATATTCAGCTGTCGAATATGATAATATGTTTTGAATGTAGCTAACCAATAAATACTAGCTTTAAATATGTTTCCCATTAATCTTTAAATATCAGTATGTCTTTGTCTGTTTGTTAACGAAATCGTTAGAAGGCTGCCTCACCTATACTTTTACTTTTTGGAATAGTTAAACTTTTCCTACTAATACAAGCATTCGTGGAATCTACATTCTGTACATAATTATTAATTTCGCGTTTTTTTTTTTTTTTTAATATCATTGATTGTAGATTTCGCAACACCGTGTGTACTTGCTAATTTCGTTGTATGGTCAGTGCTTTCAATACCTTTAACGATTTTGTACTTCTCCCAATAGTTAAAAATACACGTATTCGTTAACTTGTCATCGTGATACCATTCGCTGTTGCGTCAGACTGAATTGATATGGTTATATTTAATTGGCTGAACACAGGAAAGCATTTATTACTTCTAAATACATTGTATAATTATTGTAGTGCAGATAATAGAACATACCGATAATAGAGAATATTTGTCTATATTAAGATATTCAAATAATGGAGGTATGTATACGAGAGTTTTATATATTTGAGTCTTATATACATTTCATTAATTGCGTTTATTGTTGAATTACATTTAGGTCCAGTAATTCGTGTAAGATTTTGTTATTGATATTTAAGAATTACTTAAGAATATTATCTTAGACTGATGATTTAGATTAGGCTATCCTTAAGCTTCCGCTAAGGTTTATCTTGGGTTTTCTCATTTAGTTATACCGTTATTGGAGTATCAACTTCTCTGTGAAAAATTGGAAATAAGAGGAACTCAAGTGAAGTGAAAGATATTTGGGAAATCTATTCTTTTGCTGCTTGTTGTCCTCTCTATGTATACTACATATGTATATTAAAATTTGAGAGAGCACAAGTGTGTTGATATTTTAAGGGGTTGTTTCACCCCTTATAATCACACCTTAGCTGATAAAAAATTATGTATCTCTTATTTTTGTCTATTTAACAAATGTATGAAGCTTCGTCAAAATCGGAGGGTGACATTTCCGTGCCTTTCCTTGTAAGTTTCAATTACTCCATATCCTTTTTTCCCAAATATGCTATGACGAAAACATCAGTTCTATCCTATACACTCATTGTCTGTTATAGAGCGGAGGATATGGAGTGAAATACATAAATAAATTATTCAAATAAGAAAAATAAATAAAAAAATACATGCCACTCAAAAGAAGTATATTTTAACTTTTGCTGTTTTTCGTTCAAAATATATTATATATATCACATGGTCTGATGATTATGATTTATGTTAAAAAATTGTTGAATTCTTCAACCATTTCTTTCGTTTTTGATTTTCATCTGCAAAAAGTAGTTTTGCTATCAATTCGAATAGTATGCTTAGATTAGAAATTCATAAGTTGCGATGCACAAAACAAGCATATTTAATAATAAGTTTAGATAAAAATAATAGTTTCATATTTACTTACATAAAAAAAATTAATTTAAAAAAACAATATTTCTACAGCGAATATGTAACTGGACATCAAAGGTCAATATGAGTGTCTTCTATATATATAGTGAAATAATTTGAATGATTGTTGGTGATTTTAGTTATTTATTGAGATTTTGTAATATTTACATAATTTCGTATTAGGTGGATACATTTTATATCAAATCAAAAATGCAATCTCTGAATAGAACTAATACAATATGTGGCCTAAATATTTTGAGAAATATAAATGACAAACAACAAATACTTCAGATGAATATGTTAAAATACAAAGAGGCAAACATGAATTAAATGTTTTAATAGGTTGGCATATTTTTCATATGAATTGATTCTTTTTATAAAAATTAATAGTTTGTGAGATATTTGAAATAGAAAACTGAAATATTTTTTTCAATTAAATATATGCTGTGTAAAAATAATTGTGAATCGTTTATGGTATGTAATTGTTCATTCAGAAACTTATGTATTTATCGATGATTATCAATGTGCTGGACGTTATAGCCAGCCCATAACATACAAATGAAAAACGTGTTTTCAGAATTCCAAAATATTATGAAACTTTATGAATACGCACATAGAGTATGTCTTTTTGCTTACAATTCAGTTTGATTAATTATAGTTTAAAGGTGGATAGAAAAGATACAGTTACTCAATTTAATATTCGGATACTATGGTATTTGCGAAATTAAAGCTTTATGTACTTACTTTCAATGTGATTATCGAATTTTCTGATCTGTAATGAGTTAAAGCACATATTCTAATTTACAAATATATAAAATTAAATACTTTATTTTTTATTGTTTTCTACATAATAAATGATAAATGAAATTAGACCCGATATTGGTGTCGAAAAAATATTCGGACACTTAATTTTACATAAAATGTTTTCTTATTTAGAGTGTATGTAACAACAAACTTATAATTTTAATATTAATTTAATATTTTTTGGGACATCCCTTTTGTCTTATGACGTGTTGCAAACGTGTTGGCATGTTTGAAATTATTTTATTTAAATAATTTTGAGTAATGCGTTTCCACTCTTCCGTCAGTGGCATTTTTTAATTCGTCTTTTGTTTCTATAGGGGTGGTCTTAACATTACGATCCAATAAGTCCCATAGATTTTCAATTGGATTTAAATCTGGTGATAGTGGTGGAGGATGGAGCACTTTCGGACAAGCATATAATAAATATTCCTGAACTATTCTCGATTTGTTTTTCGGATCGTTATCCTGGTAGAACTTAAAACTGTCGCGTATACCCATATTCGTTGCATTTTTTAATAAATTTTTTATTAATGTGTTTAAATATTTGTTCTTGTCAAAATATCTTCAATAAAAATAAGCCCCCCCCCCTACTCCAACACTAAAAATGCAGCCACATATGTACTATCAAGTCTCCACCGCCGTGTTTCATCGTCGGCCTCATGTTACTTATTGTTAATTGTTCATTCGGTTTACGTTACACTAATTTTCACGTTACTGGGTGTAAGTAAGTACATAAAGCTTTAATTTCGCAAATACCATAGTGTCCGAATATTAAATCGAGTAACTGTACGTACTTTGGACGGTTTGTATTTTTCTTTTTTCGTTAAAACTGTTTCAAGTATAAAAACAATTTATAAATAAAAACTGTACGTCTTAATATACATTTTTTTACTTCTTTTAATCTGAAACAGATAAAAATTAATTTTAATCAAAAAGACATCTCCCAAAATTTTAAAAAGTTTCCTAATTTTGGACTCGGTATTTGTATTATGCTTTCATTGCCATGAATCTATGAGTAATAAGAACCGGAGAGATGGAAAATTCCGTATTAAATTGGTTATACAGTATTCAGGGTATTAAAAAAGTATCGCATTTGCTTAATATTCTTCCATAGAAGGAAAAAAATTTATGAAAGTAAGTTTCATGCCATTCTTCGAAAGAATGCACAGTTTCGCTGTAATTATTAATTAAAAACGAATACAATTAATCAATCTGACAGAGCTACAGCAGTGGTTTAGTGATGTAACGTGCGAAATAGAAACTATGGCAGTGACTTGCGCTGTAATTTCACGTCAATTGGTTGATTATGTTAATCCCTAATAATTAGTTGCGGCAAAAGTATGCATCCTATGAAAATGTGGTATTTGACTTTTTCTTAGACTTTCATCCGCTACTAACTGGTATTAGGCAAATAGAATGCTTTCATATTATTTAATACCTTGTATAAAATTGATGATTAGTTGATGTAGGAATATAGAAATAGACTGCGCAATCTGTGAGAAATGATGAATTTAACACAAAAGAAAATGAACAACGGTTGACGCTAGTTTTTTATTTTCTAATATTATATGTATACACTTAATTTCCAAATATCTTCATCATTCAGATGTCACATACAACTTTTTTAGTGGAACATGCAGTCTATATCTGTGTCTATACCAGTTATACGTGTTATAT